ACAGTGACCTAGTTTTTTAATGAGGATGGGGTGGGAGATGGTGTCAAAGGCCTTGCTGAAGTCTTTTATGATCAAGGTGCCTGACTAAGATGCGAAGAGATCAGTAATCAGTTCACAGTCTGCTCACGGACTTCATCAGGAAGTCACTTGGGGCCCATATTTTTAGCAAAACTGCTCTTTTTAAGGCACTCAGTGGGTTCAATTTTTCAGAGCATACTCAGTTGGACCTGCTAGGTGCTGAGAGTTTTTTAAATTCCAGCTGTTTCTCTCACCATACAAGTCCCATACCTGCAAAATACATCCTGCCAAACAAGAGTGTCATAAGGCTAAACTCCTTGATGTTTTTGAGGCACCTAGAGCCTGTGGTGATGACAGTCAGTAAGTATCCAGTTTTCTGCAATGACCCTATGGAACGGGCCATTAAAAAAATCCTACTTTATCAATATACTCTCTTTCAACTCCACATATCAAACAGCAGCAGCAGAGGCTCAATATTTCATTGTCAAGACTGATCACAACTTGAGTATCACAATGCCTTTCCAATGAGAACTCCATTTAGACCACACTAATGGAAAGATTTCTTCCTGAAGTTATACTAATGAAAAAAGATATGCCTTGCCTGCCCTGCTTTAGAAGTCACTAAGCTGCAGGTGAATGTTTACTAGGGCAGTTTGTGCAACCTACTTGATTAGGATTGCATCAATAATAATTTGGCTTTCTTGGTCAAGCCATTAAATATCTGCAACTTTGAAGATTGTCTTATCTTCCCTAGTTCTGTTCTCAGAAGCACTTTGTGCTGGTGTTTCAGGCATTGCTTCATTCAGTTCCATAGTGCTCCTGAACTGATTTTGCAACTGGAGGACAACCAGTGCAACTGGGAACATTTGTGATTGAATGACTTTTATTTGCTACCCAGTAACAAGGCTCAGTTACCTTGCCAGCACACACCAGTTGCACTTAGGAGTTCAGGTTGCCCTCTGATGCAGTACCCAAATAGCACTGAGCATTCTAATATAATAAAGGGCTTAGTGTGTCTGTCTGACCACAATGCTTTTGGGCAATGGCACATGTGCTGTTGAAAAGCCAGTGGTGACTGGGTGCCGGGGCTCTGTCTCCTCGGGCAGGGAGGCAGGAGCCCAGCTGCTCCATGGGAAGAGGCGGAGGTAGAGGCAGGTGGAAGAGGGGAAGGGGAAGCCCCGCTGCTCTGCGGGTGAGGGCAGAGGCCGCTGGGTGGCAGGCAGTGGAGAAGGAGCTGCCATGACCACTGCCACCACCTCAGGTGGAGGGAAGCCCTGCTGCTTGACAGGAGGAGGCGGAGGCAGGAAGGTGGGGGGGGAGAGCTGCTGCCACCTCCTCCCACCCACCTTCTCTACATCTGCCTCCTCCCACCACCTCTTCCCTGCTGCTCCATGGGAGGATGCAGATGTGGAAGAGGAAGTGAGTGGGTGGAGGGGAGGGAAGAGGAGGTACAACTGATTCTTCCTCAGGAGGAGGAAAGCTCTGCTGTTCCGTGGGAGGAGACGGAGGCAGAGGTTGGCAGACTGGGGGGAGGGAGCTGCCACCATCACCACCTCGAGCAGAGGAAAGCCCTACTGCTCTGTCAGAGGAGGTGGAGGCAGAGGCGGGTAGGTCGGTTGGGGGGAGGGATCTGCCATGCTGGAAGCTGGGGGAGAAGGTGGCAGCAGTGGTGGGACTCTGGAATGCACTCCCAAGGGAAGTGATGCTTTCTCCTACCTTGGGGGTCTTCAAGAGGAGGCTGGACAGATATTTGGCTGGGGTGATATGATCCTGGCACCTGTTCCTGCCTGGGGCAGGGGGTCAGACCTGATGATCTGTTTAGGTCCCTTCCAACCCTAAGTACTATGATACTATGACTGTTTACATAACCGGCCCCAAAGGGTGAGTGGGGGGCATCTAAACACTCCCTGAAACACTCTGTCATTCCTGATGGGCAATTGGCTAGCATTTAATAAAATTCACCTTATTTAGAGAGTGACATCCAGTCTGTCCCATTCTTCAGGTGGACACATAGCATGAATTATTCCTCAGCATCGTTTCTTATTAGTTCTGCATTAAAATTAGGCATAATTTTTTCTTATGTTGCCCAGTTTGAGCAGCAGGAATACTGAAAGGACAAGATAGATAGGTTCCCTGCTCTCATTTTGAGTACCTCGATCTTGACTTGGCTGTGATTTCAGTGAAGATTTTGATAAACTCTGGGCTCAGTGCAGAGACTCTTGAGGAACTGTAGCCTACAGAGATCTAGAAAATGTTTACTGAAAGTATCCAAAATGAATTGTAAGGGTGTTCTAATTCAGTAATCTGAGAGGATTTTCATAGGATGGGAAAAGTCACATTCCTGGCAAAAAGGTCACATCCCTTCCAAAATCTGACTGCTTTCTCTAAAACATGGGGGTGCTAGAGCATCAAAAAAAAAAAAAAAAATGCCCCCTATCCCAGTCAGAGCTTTACTGCTTCAGCTAACAACTTACAAAAACAATCAGCATCAGCCTGTAGTAGGCCCCTGGCACAAAATATTTCAACTCAAACCATTGAAACTTAAAACATGGCCTTGTCATGGACAATGATGTGCACCCTGTATGATGAGCAGTATTACCAGCCCCCTGGGTGCAGCAGCAGGGAAGTTAAGGAATCTTGTTAAAGCTTCAGGGATATGGGTGTGAGTGATGCTGTAGGCTGCTCCTACTTGATCCAGATGTAAATCCATACCTGGTACTCAAGCTGGTACCAGGGAGACCCAGCTATAAATGGGGCAGGGAGTTAAAGGCAGCCAGGTACAATGAAGGCCACATCACTTCTTTCTATGCCACTAGCTACTGAAATTGAAGTGCCTTAAACTTGGGTGGATCTTTAAACTTCTTTTGACCACCTGAATTCCATTGATAATATGATGCTGAGTACTGAACATAAATAACATATTTATTTGCATATCACACCTGTACCCTTTTACTCGAAAATGCACCCCAAATTTGAAGGGCTTAAGTCTGAAAGAAGGGAACTGATTTTTCTTCACTGACATAGAAGCATGGAGATGCTGTGCTGTGATACTTGCCAAAAAAGTAAACAACTCTCTCTGGCCCAGGAAGCAGTAGGGATGGAGTCCAGTGTTAATGCTCTCATAGCTACTAGGGAACAAATCATAGCTTTTCCTTGAGTAGCCAAATTCTTTAGCAGTGGTGAGAGCATTAAAACTATAGCTTGTGCCTGGAGCAGCCACCGAACTGGCTGTGAATGAATGAACTACTGCATGCAATTGGCCATGCCATTGGATAAAATCTTTTTTCCTACATTCTGCCTTCCAAAAATAGTCTTATTTGTGGCATATGAGTAAATGGAATACATTTTAAAATGCGTTTTCAATAGATCATTGTTTGTACCCTCCATTGTTTTAAACTCTCATCCATGCGTTATTTTCAATTTTCTTTTCCTATACATTCTTTTCAGCATGCTCTGCACACAAGCCCCACTAGCTAACTATGTTGTAAAACTGAAAAAGGGTTACATTGACTTAAAACCAAGTCAGCATATTAAATTGCACCCTGTCAGTACATCGTCTAGATTAGAGTTTGACAATATAGCTGATAGTTTACAGGTTTGCATATAAAGGTGACCAAGGCATGCCACACTTGCTTCATGTTTGAGAGAAGTAGTATATAAAATGCTTTTCTGTTTAAGGCCATTCTTTTCACCTTCCCATGTTAGTAACACATTTTGAATTGCATTTGTAGATGTGGAGGAATTTTCTTTCCCCAACATCATAAATATTAGAGCAGAGAAGTGTCCATGTTGTTTCTCTTCCTTGCAGGTG